TGCTCTTGACTATGATGCTATTCTCACTGCCATGTATGCATTGCCTACTAGTGCTGACCGTGCCGGTCACCTGTGCGTCCCGCCTGACCCAGGTATAGGACCTGCTGCTCTAGCTACTGGTGAGGCTGCTGCTCTAGGTGCTAGTGAGTCTCCTGCTCCAGGTACAGGTGCGGCCGCTGCTCTAGGTGCTAGTGAGTCTGCTTCCTCAGGTGCGGGTGAGGCTGCGCTCTCAGGTACCGCGTTGGCTTCGGCCTCCCTCACCTTTACACTTGACTCTGGGTCTTCTCGCTCCTTCTTTCGGGACCGCACCACACTCACGCCGCTTGGTCGGCCGGTTGCAGTCTCCCTGGCTGACCCCTCTGGGGATCCTGTCCTCGCTCACTTTTCCACTGTCCTCCCGTGTCCGGCTGCCCCCTCGGGCACCCTGTCTGGCCTGTACCTCCCCTCGTTCTTGACGAACTTGGTGAGTGGTGCAAACCTACAGGATGCGGGGGTTCACCAGTTCACTCCTGCGAGTCAGCGGGTGACCCACTGCACGGACGCACGCACAGGCCGGCACCTGGCCACGTTCTCGCGTCGGCCGGGGTCGAGCCTCTACACCCTGACCACTGAGTCTCCTCCTGTCCCCGCGTCCGGTCAGGTAGCAGCGTCGAGTCAGGTGTTTGCTGCTGCGTCCAGGTCTGGTCCTGAGTCTGCCCCCTGTTCGTGTCGCCTCCTGTCTCACGAGACTCTCCTGTGGCACCACCGTCTAGGCCACCCCTCCTTGCCCCGTCTTCGGGGCATGGCTTCCCGTGGCCTTGTCTCTGGTCTTCCCCAGTCTCTCCCTCCCCTTCCTTCGGGACCAGGACCTTCCTGTGTCCCCTGTGTCGAGGGGCGCCTCAGGGCTGCTCCTCACTCCTCCCAGTTTCCCCCGACAGAGGCTCCTCTGCAGACGCTTCACATGGACGTGTGGGGCCTGGCCCCCGTCCGTGGGCAGGGTCACGAGCGCTACTTCCTGTTGGTGGTTGACGACTACTCGCGTTACACCTCAGTCTTCCCCTTGTGCAGCAAGGGTGCTGTCACTGAGGTGCTGATCGCCTCGATCCGCGAGGCTCGTCTCCAGCTCAGGAGGAGCTTCGGCTCGGACTTTCCTGTTCTGCGTCTGCACTCTGACCGAGGTGGGGAGTTCTCCTCTCGCCTTCTGCGAGACTACTGTCGTGCACAGGGGATCCGCCAGACCTTTACGCTTCCGGACTCTCCACAGCAAAATGGGATTGCTGAGCGCCGCATTGGCATGGTCATGGATGTCGCTCGTACGTCCATGATGCATGCGGCTGCCCCCCATTTTCTGTGGCCGTTTGCGGTTCGGTACGCGGCGCATCAGCTCAACCTTCACCCCAGGGTCTCTCGGCCCGCGATGTCCCCAGTGTTACTGTGGACGGGGAAGGTCGGCGATGCGTCTGCGTTCCGTGTCTGGGGATCTCGGGCGTTTGTCCGCGACTTGTCTGCGGACAAGCTGTCCCCCCGTGCTGCTCCCTGTGTCTTCCTTGGCTTCCCCCCTGACGCTCCAGGGTGGCAGTTCTACCACCCCTCCTCTCGTCGTGTTCTGTCCTCCCAGGACGTCACGTTCGACGAGTCAGTCCCCTTCTACCGCCTCTTCCCCTACCGTACTCCTTCCCTCCCCCCCCCACCGGATTTCCTGGTACCAGTTCCCCCCCCGGTAGACCCCCTCCCCCCTCAGGTTCCTGCCCCTTCAGGTGTCTCCCAGGTAGAAACAGTCGAGCCAGTCGAGGTTGCTGCTGAGTCTGGTCCTGCTGCGGGTGCTGAGCCTGGGGGTGCTGCTGCTGGGGGTGCTGAGCCTGGGGGTGCGAGGCCGGGGGGTGCTGAGTCTGGGGGTGCTGGGCCTGGAGGTCCGGAGCCTGCGCCTGCTGGACCTGGGGGCTCTCCGGTTCTTCCGTCTCGGCGGGAGCCGCTCTCTCCACAGGAGCTGCGCGAGTGGTTTGCTCGCCGCTGGAGGCGTGCTGCTGGAGCTGGAGCTTCTTCGCCTGCTGAGGGTGCTGGTGCTGCCGGTCCCGGAGCTGCTGGGCCTGCGGGTCCTACTGGAGCTGGAGCTACTGAGCCTGGGGGTGCTGAGTCTGGAGCTGCTGAGCCTGGAGGTGCTGAGTCTGGAGCTGCTGAGCCTGGGGGTGCTACGTCTGGAGCTGCTGTGCCTGGGGGTGCTGAGTCTGGAGCTGCTGAGCCTGGGGTTTCTCCTGCTGCTGCGTCTCGCCGGGAGCCCCTCTCTCCACAGGAGCTGCGCGAGTGGTTTGCTCGCCGCTGGAGGCGTGCTGCTAGAGCTGGAGCTTCGTCGACCGTCGAGGGTGCTGGTGCTGCCGGTCCCGGAGCTGCTGGGCCTGCGGGTCCTACTGGAGCTGGACCTGCTGAGGGTGTTGGTGCTGAGACTACTGCTGTCTGTCCTGGCGGTGGTTCTGCTGCTGGTGCTGCTGGAGGTCCTGCCGCTGGCGGTGTTGGTGGCGCTGGTGCTGTCGCTGAAGGTGCTGGTGCTGTCCTTGCTGAGTCTGGAGCTGCCGCGCGGCCTCGGCCGTACTTCGTTCCGCTCCTACAGCAGGTTCTTGGTCTTTCTCCTTCGGTAGAGTGTCCACAGCCTGTCCAGTCGCAGTCACTGTTGGAGCCTTCCTCTCCTCTGCCTGCTCCCTCCCCTTACACTGGTCCTACTGGAGGTCTTGCTGAGCGTCGTGAGCCTGCGTCTCGTCCCACGTCGCCGGTCCGTGCTGCTCGCGCTAGTGGTCGCGGTTCGCGTCAGCGTCCTCCTCCTGTCCCTGGCACGCACCGGATGTCTCTGCGTCCGTCCACTGCTCCTCTGCGTGCCCCTTTGCCTTCTCCTCCTGAGTCCTCTCTTCCTGCGCTTGCCGACCCTGAGGCGGACTCTCTTCGTGCTGCCAGTCCTACTGTCACGCGTCTGCTTGCTACTGTCGTCACTGACCCCTCTTTTGAGTCCACTGCTGCGTCTGCTCTTGTCGCTGAGCTCGTCGACTTTGATGCTCGCTGCCGTCTAGACTACGCTGCTAGTCTTGTTGCTGAGTCTGCGTCTGTCTGTCCTCCGTCAGTCGGGGGTGAGTGTGCTCTTGGCACGGACGTCCTAGAGGACAGGCAGGAGGAGTTACAGTGTCTGGCTGCTGCTTCACCTCATCTCGCATCTGTACTACTTGCTCCTGAGGGAGACCCGGATGCACTAGACATCCCGACTCCACGCTCTTACGCGGAGGCCGTAGAGGGTCCCTACTCCTCTCAGTGGCAGGCAGCTATGGATGCAGAGATGGCTTCCTGGAAGTCCACAGGCACCTACGTTGACGCAGTTCCCCCTCCTGGGGCGAACATCGTCAGTGGCATGTGGATCTTCAGGGTGAAGCGGCCGCCGGGCTCTCCACCTGTCTTCAAGGCGCGGTACGTTGCTCGTGGCTTCAGTCAGCGGCAGGGAGTTGACTACTTTCAGACCTTCTCTCCCACCCCGAAGATGACCACTCTTCGGGTGCTGCTGCACATAGCCGCTCAGCGCGACTACGAGCTTCACTCTCTCGACTTCAGCACTGCGTTCTTGCAGGGTAGCCTGCACGAGGAGATCTGGCTGCGCCGTCCGCCTGGCTTCACTGGGACTTTCCCTCCTGGCACCCAGTGGAGCCTCCGACGGCCAGTCTACGGTCTCCGCCAGGCACCGCGTGAGTGGCACGACACACTGAGGACTACGCTTGCGGCTCTTGGGTTTGCTCCCTCTACTGCTGACCCGTCGCTGTTTCTGCGCACCGACACTTCACTGCCGCCGTTCTACATCCTCGTGTACGTCGACGACTTGGTCTTTGCCACAGCGGACACTGCTGGACTCGCCTACGTGAAGTCCGAGCTGCTGAAGAGACACACGTGCACAGACCTGGGTGAACTGCGCAGCTACCTTGGCTTGCAGATCACTCGGGACAGAGCACGCCGCACCATTACCTTGACTCAGTCACACATGGTGCAGCAGGTCCTTCAGCGCTTCGGCTTCACGTACTCCTCGCCTCAGGCCACTCCTCTGCCTACTCGCCACTCACTCTCAGCTCTGCCTTCGGATGAGTCCGTAGAGTCGAGTGGTCCGTATGCAGAGCTTGTTGGCTGCCTCATGTACCTGATGACCTGCACACGACCTGACCTTGCATACCCTCTGAGCATTCTTGCACGCTATGTTGCTCCTGGGAGACACCGACCAGAGCACATGGCAGCAGCGAAGAGGGTATTGCGCTACCTGTGCAGTACGTCGGGCATGGGGCTAGTGCTTGGAGGGCGGAGTCCAGTGGTCCTTACAGGCCACGCGGACGCTTCTTGGGCTGACGACCAGGCTACGCAGCGGTCGTCACAGGGTTACACCTTCAGCCTTGGTTCCGGCTCTGTCTCGTGGCGGTCTACTCGCTCGTCTTCAGTTCTCGGCTCCAGTTGTGAGGCTGAGATCTACGCCGGGGCCATGGCTGCACAGGAGCTTCGCTGGCTCACCTACCTGCTGACTGACCTTGGAGAGCCGCCTCGTTCTCCTCTTGTGCTGTACGTAGACAACAAGGCCATGCTGGCCTTGTGTCGAGAGCAGCGCTTGGAGCACAGAACGAAGCACATTGCTCTCCGCTACTTCCTTGCTCGTGAGCTGCAGCAGCGTGGTCAGTTGCGACTTGCGTACGTGGCCTCTGAGGCCAACACTGCTGATGTGTTCACCAAGGCACTCGCGCCTTGTGACCATCAGCGCTTTTGCACCCAGCTGGGTCTTGTGCCTGTCTTGCCTCACTTGCTCTCCTCTTGACTTCACTTGTACTGTGACATATATATATACCTGCTCTTGCTTGTCTAGTTTTATATATATGTCTGTCCTCCTGCATGTGAACTGGCCTGTGGCCCTGCTCTTGTGCTCGGACTGTGTGGTGACTTTGTGATCCACCCTGAGCTTGCTTTGCTTTGCTTTGCTTGACTGGTCTTGTGACCCCTTGTTCTCCCCCACTTTGCCTATGGGGGTGTGTCAGAGTATTATAACTGATGCATGTTTGTAGGCTATAGTGGGGTAGCACATATGGGGTACAGCTTTCTAGGGTTGTATTTGTACCCAACTCTGACTTAGTCATTTCATTCCTGTTCTCTTATCTTTCACAATTAGCGGCAGCGACGGGCAAACCTGGTCGTCGGGCGCCTGGCACCTCGCCTGCTCTCGCCGCTGCGTCTCCCTTCGATCTCTCCTCTTCCGCCACTCCCGCTCCTCCGCTCGCCTCCTTGCGCGCAGTACCGCCGCAGGTCCCTCTCGCGCCGCGCTTGCCCCACCAACCCACCGCAGATAAGCCTCTGGCCTCCGCGCATTCCTCACGCTCCCTGCTGTCGTCACAGCCGTATAGTAAAGCCCGCCGCCTGCCCTTCCGTTTCCCCGCGCGCGCCGTGTCCGCCCAGGCGCGCGCGCTCTGCCACTACGCAGCGCTCACCGTCGCCGCGGCCCTCTTTCTCGTCGTGTGGATCGCCTTTCAGTCCGACGCGCCGCGCCTGCCTGACGCCCGTGACCCCAATGGGAGGGCCGTCCCCTACCGGTCACATGAAACATTACGAGGCTGCCCGGTGTGCGGCCGCGGCGAGGTCAAGCTACCGCCGCTGGTGCGCCCGCTGTCCGCGCGCGGCGCCAAGATGCGCCTCTGCATGGGCAGCGCCGCCGCGCCGTTCGCGCAGGGCACGTTCGTGAGCCCCGAGGAGGCGCGCGACGGGGCGAGCTTCGGCAGCCGGTTCGCGCAGCTGGCGGTGTTCGAGGCGGAGGCGCTGCACGAGGCGGCGGATGGCGCGGGGGACGCGCGTGGAGGCGGCGGGAAGGCGGGGCGGCATGTTCAGCGAGGGGCGGCGGCGGTGACGACGTGGGTGAGGCTGCTGGCGTTCCTGGAGGACGAGGAGTCGATCCGCAAGACGCAGTGGGAGGGGTGGGGCGCGGCGGAGCTGAGCGACGTGTACTGGCGGGGCGCGTTGCAGGTGAAGTGCCTGGTGTGGCCGGGCCACGACCCCGCGCTGCACAGTGTGGCGCCCGCCCTCGTGGTGGACACCGTGGTGCGCCACCGCCACCCCTGGCACATCGCCCTCGAATGCCCCCTCCCGCCCTTCCCCTCCCCGCCTTCCCAATCCTCCTCCCCGCCTCCTGCGGACACGTCTGCGGACCCCTCCGCAGATGCGGCAGTGCCGGTGCACGTGAGGGTGAGTCGGCGGGAGGCGTGGCGGCACTATGTGGAGTACGGGCAGCGCCTGCAGGTGCAGCTGGTGGCAGCCCGCAACGGCTCCGACCTGCGCATGCCGCCTCTGCTGCTCTGCCGTGCTGACGGCGACAGTGATGGTGACGGCGGTGGTGGCGGTAGTGACGGGCTCCCCGTGGACCCGGGCAGCCGCGCCCCGCCGTTCCCCTTCGCTGCCGTGGAGAGGGAGGTGGCTGCCGCGGCTAATGCAGGCTCGGGAGGAGGCTCGGAACTGGCGAGGCTGATGGGGGGGGATGCGGGAGGAGTGGGGGGCAAAGCGAGGATGAAAGGGGCGGGGAAAGGGGAGGGCGCGGGGGCGTAAGGGGGGAAGTGCGGAGGAGATGCTGGTGGAGTATGGGGAGGACGCCGCCACGCAGGAGCAGGGGGGCAGCACCACTGCACACAGCAGCAGCAGCAGTAGTGGGGGCGGCAGGAGGAGGGCAATGGGGGCGGTGGCGATCTGCCTGCGCCCCTTCCACACGCGGCAGCTCTTCTCCCTCGACGTGGCCTTCTCACACGCGCGCCTGCTGGAGTGGATCTACGCGGCGCTGCTGATGGGCGTGTAGCACATCTACGTGTACGACCGCCACGCCATTGCCATGCAAGCCCTGCTGGCGCCGTACAGCGAGCGCGGGCAGGTGCAGCACGTGCCCTTCTCCCCCTGGAGCGAGGTCTTCTATCGACACGCGCTCTACGCTGGCAAGGCCCGCGTGCCGTACCTCGTGAGTGCCGTACCTGGTGAATTTTTTTCTCGCCTCATTCCCAACCTCACGAATCTCCATCCCGCCTGCACATGTGCCACTCACCAACTGGTTCCAATGCCATGTCGCAGAAAAAACAGGTCTCTTGCTGCCTTCCCCATGCTTCCCCTTGCCCGTCCCTCTCCATACCCCGCACCTTCCATGCCCCCCTCATTCCCATGTCCCCTTCTGCTCTCCCATGCCATCCCTGCTCCCTGTTCCTCTGGCGCACGCCTCCCCTTCTCATCCCACGCCCCCCTATGTCGCCAGTTCCCAGAGATATACGATCAGATCATATCATACGAGCACTGCCTCATGCAGAGGCGGCGGAGGGGAGACCGGTGGCAGCTGCACATAGACAGCGACGAGTTCGTGTGGTACGAGCCGCGCACGGGGGGCTTCCTCAAGCCGCTGCTCGCGCGCCTCGAGCTCAACCACACGCGCTCGCGCCGCGCGGCAGCAAGGAGCCCCTGCGGGTGAGCGCAGCACCATGGCACCGCCGGGAGGAGTCCTTGCGCTCTGCACTCACATCATACCCCCTCGTCCATGTGCTCTTGCCTTATGACGACTGTGCCGTGTTGCACGCGAATGCGTCAAATGCCCCACTCGTCTCCTCTCTTCCTAACCCCGCATGCTCCTGCAGGTGATTCAGCTGCGTCGCTTCAACTTCTGGGGCGTGGAGGCGGAGTCGCGGCGCGAGCCGGTGTTGGACCGCCTCACGTGGCGCTGCGCTCAGCCCATGTGGCACACGGAGGGGTTGGGCGGGCTGGCATGACAAGCTCGCTGTCAACCCGCAAACCATCCTGCCCTAGTGAGTGCCGCTCTAGTGAGTGCCGCCCTAGTGAGTGCCGCCCTAGTGAGTGCCGCCCTAGTGAGTAGTACTGCCCAAGCTCCATTCTCGCTCTCGCGTCCTTCTCATCACTCTCCTCTCGGTTCCTCCACATGTTCTTTCAACCCATCGCTCCCCCTTTCTCTTCCCCCGCCATCAGCTCGGTGGCCATCCACACGACCACGGCGCCCCCGGAGTCGGTGGCAACGGCGCCGCAGGACGTGCTGCACGTGAACCACTTCACGGCCACAGCCATCGACCTCGCGCAGCACCCCTGCCGCTCCTGGGTCAAGCCCGTGCTGGACCAAGGCCTCACCTGGGTCACCCCGCGCGCCCTCAAGTGCCGCGCCCTGCCCTGCCACCGCTCCACACCCCTCGAGTGCTGGCTCTTTTGCATTCTGCCGTGGCAGGGGGAGGAGGATGGCAGGAGGGGCGGTGCTGGTGGGGGTGGAGGGCTAAGGGTGGCTAAGCCTGAGAATGTGGAGAGCGGGGAGGGAGAGAAGAGTAAGGAGCCTGCCGAAGATACGATGTAACTGAATATGGCATAGCCTACTTGCATGTGATGAGGCATTTGGGTTGTCATAAGCTCGTTGTGCTGCGGCCTTTAACCAGCTGCTGTGAATCTCAGTGCCCAAACCCAAAGCTTCACGAGAGAAATCAACCTGCATTGAGCATTACAAGCAATAAGCATTACAATGGGTTCCTTTGTGTTGCATGAGTCCACATATACATGAGAAGCATAACACGAGCGGAGCTGTACAATGAGGGGCCGGGCTGGCATGTGGTGTGGCTAGTGGCTAGTGGCGCAGGCGCAGGTAGATGACGGCAGCGATGGCGAGCAGCAGCAGGGCGAGGATGAGCGCGGTGATCCACTTGTTGCGGTGCAGCTTGTGCGCCATGCCGCCCAGCACGCGCCTCGCGCGACTCATCTGGTGGTCCACGTCCTCCAGCTGCGCTTGGCACACGCAGCGCACACGGGATGGCAGGTGAATGCTTCTGAGGGCACAGCGAGGCGCGAGCAGTGAGAGAGGTGCGAGCAGTGAGAGAGGTGCGAGCAGTGAGAGAGGTGCGAGCAGTGAGAGAGGTGCGAGCAGTGAGAGAGGTGCGAGCAGTGAGAGAGGTGCGAGCAGTGAGAGAGGTGCGAGCAGTGAGAGAGGTGCGAGCAGTGAGAGAGGTGCGAGCAGTGAGAGAGGTGCGAGCAGTGAGAGAGGTGCAAGCAGTGAGAGAGGTGCGAGCAGTGAGAGAGGAGAGAGTGAGACGCCTGGCCCCCCTGACCGTGTCGCCGGCGCGCAGCAGGGACTGGCGCTGCTGGTGCAGGTCCGCCAGGATGGCCACGCCCAGCTGCTCCGTGCCCGCCATCGCGCGCCGGCTCTCCGCCACGCGCGCTGACGACTCCTCCACCCGCGCCGTCACCTGCAGCAGCCGCGCGCGCTGGTCCGCCGCGCCCTGGGGGGGGGAGGGGCGAAGTAGGAGAAGAGAGGAGGAGGGGAGGGCCGCAAGATGGATGGATGGACACGGTGTTCCACTGGCAGACGGATTGGTGGTCCCTGCCCTCTGGGGAGAGGGAGGCACACACCGATAGAGGCACGCACCAATAGAGGCACACACCAATAGAGGCACACACCGATAGAGGCACACACCGATAGAGGCACACACCGATAGTGGCACACAACAATAGAGGCACACACCGATAGAGGCACACACCGATAGAGGCACACACCGATAGAGGCACACACCGATAGAGGCACACACCGATAGAGGCACGCACCAATAGAGGCACACACCGATAGAGGCACACACCAATAGAGGCACACACCGATAGAGGCACACACCAATAGAGGCACACACCGATAGAGGCACACACCGATAGAGGCACACACCGATAGTGGCACACAACGATAGAGGCACACACCGATAGAGGCACACACCGATAGAGGCACACACCGATAGAGGCACGCACCGATAGAGGCACGCACCGATAGAAGCACACACCGATAGAGGCACACACCGATAGAGGCACACACCAATAGAGGCACACACCAATAGAGGCACACACCGATAGAGGCACACACCGATAGAGGCACACACCGATAGTGGCACACAACGATAGAGGCACACACCGATAGAGGCACACACCGATAGAGGCACACAACGATAGAGGCACACACCGATAGAGGCACACACCGATAGAGGCATGCACCAATAGAGGCACACACCGATAGAGGCACACACCAATAGAGGCACACACCGATAGAGGCACACACCAATAGAGGCACATACCGATAGAGGCACACACCAATAGAGGCACATACCGATAGAGGCACACACCAATAGAGGCACATACCGATAGAGGCACATACCGATAGAGGCACATACCGATAGAGGCACATAGTCCCTTCCATCTTCCAGCAGCGCTGTTCTCTCCTCCTCCGCTCTCCCCACCCCTCGTGACCCCGCTTGCCCCCCTGCTTGCCCGCCCATCACGACTCCCCCCTCCCCCCCCGTCTCGGCGGCGCGCTTCTTGGCGGCGAGCAGCGCGAGCTTGTGCGCGCGCAGGCGCGCCAGCAGATGCGCGCGGTCGGTGGGGGGAAGCGAGCGCGCCTCGAGATCCATCTGGCGAATCTGGAGGAGGGGGGAAGAAGGAATATGTGCGGCGGGAAGGAGAGCAGCGGGGCGGGGAGGAGAGCAGCGGGGCGGGGAGGAGAGCAGCGGGGCGGGGAGGAGAGCAGCGGGGCGGGGAGGAGAGCAGCGGGGCGGGGAGGAGAGCAGCGGGGCGGGGAGGAGAGCAGCGGGGCGGGGAGGAGAGCAGCGGGGCGGGGAGGAGAGCAGCGGGGCGGGGAGGAGAGCAGCGGAGCGGGGAGGAGAGCAGCGGGGCGGGGAGGAGAGCAGCGGGGCGGGGAGGAGAGCAGCGGGGCGGGGAGGAGAGCAGCGGGGCGGGGAGGAGAGCAGCGAGGCGGGGAGGAGAGCAGCGGGGTGGGGAGGAGAGCAGCGAGGCGGGGAGGAGAGCAGCGGGGCGGGGAGGAGAGCAGCGGGGCGGGGAGGAGAGCAGTGGGGCGGGGAGGAGAGCAGCGGGGCGGGGAGGAGAGCAGCGGGGCGGGGAGGAGAGCAGCGGGGCGGGGAGGAGAGCAGCGGGGCGGGGAGGAGAGCAGCGGGGCGGGGAGGAGAGCAGCGGGGTGGGGACTGAAGAGCGGAGGGACGAACGAGGTGGCGAACATAAGAGAGAGCCTTGGAGGACTCGAAGAGGGTGCGGGGGGAGCGGCGGCGACGTACCAGTGATTCCGCGTCGTCGATGCGCCGCTGCGACTCGTGCAGCCGACCGCTGGACGCACCTGCACGGCCACGTCGGGATGAGTGAGACGCGCGACGCGATGAAACCGATGAGGAGCGACGAGCGAAACACAGGGAACCATGCAGGGCGGAGGAGCGCAAACACGAGACGAGCGGTGGCGGCCTATGGTGATGCGTACCGTGTGACAAGGCGTCGACGATGCCGTTGAACTGCCGCTCGTACGCCTCGAAGGTCGCCATGCTCGCCACACCGACGCTCACAACCGCCGTGAGGGAGACGATGCGAGGGCTGCGCTGCTGGAGTGCGCGGCAACGTGTACGGCGAACCGCGGGGTTTGCGGAATGCGAAGAAACTAAATTGGACTTGGTTGAGCTCAAACCCTACCAGACCGACTCTTCGCCCAAACTCTAATTCCGCGGTATGTCAATATGGTGATAGGCTGTAGTGGGGCTGTACGGATACAGTTCTAGGGTTTCACCTTTTGAATCCCATCTTCCTAGTCAAATTCGTTCCGCGCTACTCTCTTTCAGTTTTTGCACGGATGCACGAGTTAGGGCGTGTGCACTAGGGATTCGAACTCTTGTCAGTTCTAACTTTTATCTAGGTTCTACTCGGTACAATACTACTGTGAGACGTTTGCCACGGTGCAAAGCGGTTAATGTTCGAACTTTGACAAATTTCGCCAAAAGACACACGCCCTTATAAAAGGTTGATGGGGAGGAGTTCAGTTTTGGGTTGTGACGAGAGGATATATTTCGTCAATCTCGTTTTACCGAGAATCACCGAGTCGGGCGTCAAACTGTTACCACCTTCACGCGATTGGTCCAAATTTCTGAGTGGTTCTTTTATGCGATTGGTTTTCGATTTTCCCACCGAACTTCCTCCTGGGGTTTCCCGATTCCCGAACCTGCAAATTTTACATTGACTTCGTTGTGTAATTCGGGGTTTGGCCTTTAAAGCCGGCGGCCCAAGTTGTTCATGCTTTTAAAAGTTGACCAGAGTTTTTCTGGTGTAGGCTTTGGCGAGAGTTCGCAATTTCGTCTAGGCTCGTTTTTTTTCGCGAGACCCAGCCAACCCTCAGTTTTCCCCCTGGTGAGTGAATCTGTCTTCGAAAGTCCCAAATCGCAGGTGCGTGACTTTCAAAAGCTTGGACACTCAACTTCGTCAAGTTTTAAAAACTTGACCCTCGCGGTCCGCAATTTGGGACGCGGGCTTTAACATGGAATCTTGCGCTAGGTTAGGTCCGACTGCCGAACAAAACACCGAACCTACGATTAGGATAGGTTTGATCTCGCTGCCCCGCGCCTCGATCGCCACAGTTCCGCTGCCCCGCGCATCGAGTGCCACTGCCCCACTGCCCCGCACGTCGCACGCCACTGCCCTGCTGCCCCGCGCATCGTGCTCGGCGTGCTGCCATGCGTGCCGCATGCGCTGCCTCGCGCCTCGCTCAACCTGCTGCCCCGTGCCCCGCGCGCCCTGCTGCCCTACACGCTCGCGCGCCCTCCTGCCCCGCGCGCCGCGCGCCCTGCTGCCTTGCGCCCCGTGCGTCCTACTCTAGGCGCCCTAAGCACCCTGCTGCCACGTGCCTGCCAACGCGCGCGGCTGCGCCGTGCCTGCTCGTTCACTGCCGCTACAGCTGCCACTGCGACTACCGCTACACCGGCTGCCACCGCTGCAGCTGCCTATATCGCTGCAGCCGCAGCAACCGCCACTGCTGCCCCTGCAATTGCCGCTACAGCTTCCTCCGCCGCAGTCGCTACTGCCACCCTTGCGCCGCCGCTGCTGACTGCCATTGCCTGTCATGGCCACTATCACTGTCCTAGAGGTTGACGACGATGGGTGCCCTTTCTTGTTAGAGTGGTGGCTCGAGTGCCTGCGACGGTATCTCCGTCGTTTCATATAGAGATGGCGTCCCTGATCGTCCCTTCGGGCCCCCACAACTCCCACTGAGCCTGTTGCTGACGCTGGCGAGGACGTGAAGTGGCGGTACCGGGCGAACCTCCTTGCCTACACACAGTGGACGGAGCGTGACGATATCGCACCGCTTGCCATCCGAGCTCGCCTGCTGACCAAGGCCCACATTCGTCTGGTAACATCGGTCCAAACATTTTACGCCGCTGTGGTTCGACATTACTCCTCCCTCTCTCCTGCCACCCGGCCTCTGCGGCAGCGGCGTCCGTTGTTAGGGGAGGTGCAGTATGAGGATCAAATAAATGGTTTAGAAATTATAATATGATCACTTGGGTACAACACGAGGCTATATATGGGCTCGACACAAATGCAGTAACCCTGGTGTTTAGGGTTTAGGGTTCTGCGGGTCGTGAAGCGTCTCGAACGGGTCCTTTTCTGAATTTGGTAGAAGCAATTCATCTTGTACAAGAACAGGTGGTGGTGGCGGTAGCTGTCGTCCTGTAAACTGTTGGTTGGGGTCCTTGTAGGGCTTCAGCAGCTGAACATGGAAAGCGTTGTGAAACTTCCATGTAGTAGGTAAGCGCAACCGGTGGTCTCAACGCGAAAAGGATTACAGGAGCGAGGCCGGAGCATGGACGGAAGGTGGGACAAGTCCACGTTCTCAAATGTTATATCTGCTACAGTTTGTTTAGGCTGTAGTGGGGTAGTTACTATGGGGTACAGTAAGCTTAGGGTTTCCTACTTGTACCCAACTCTTTCCTACTTCAATCACTCTTGTTCATTCTGACATGGTATCACGAGCCTAGGTTAGCCACCTAGGACCGCTTACTACTACAGGCCCACTATTCCGCCAGAAGCGCCCTCGTGCGCCCTACCTTACGTGCGCCCTCGTAGGCCTTTCTCTACTCGTGCGCCCTCGTGCGACTTCTTTCTACTAGTGCGCCCTCGAGCGCCCCGCCCTTCGTTCTGCCCGCGCGCCGTCCTCTGCCCATGCGCATGTGGCCCGCTAGCCACCAGCGCGCCGCCTGATCGACGCCCGCGTACAGCCTGCTCGCCGCCCACGCAGTTCGTTCCGGCCTCACGCGGCCCCTCGAGCCGCCCGCGACCTGCCTGCACGTAGGCCGCCACCCGTAGGCTGCTGGCCGCCCGTACGCTGCCCGTAGGCCGCCCTAACGCAGCCCGTAGGCCGCCCGTACGTCGCCCGTAGGCCGCCGCCGCCCGTAGGCCGACGCTCGCGCGCAGGCTGTACCCCGCGCGCTGCGGCTGCTGCACGCCGGTGGCTGCAGCCCGTCGGGACCCGCGCGTCGCCCCTACCTCTTCGCGACGCCCTTGCGGGCCCCGCGCGTCGCCCCTTGCCTCTTCGCGACGCCCTTGCGGGACCCGCATGTCCCCCCCCAGCCTCGTCGCGACGCCCCTGCGGGACCCGCGCGTCGCCCTTGCCTCTTCGCGACGAACCTACGGGACCCGCGAGGCGCGGCTACTGCGCGTCGCGCCGCCCCAACGGGACCCGGGCGTCGCCCCCGCTCGTCGTGACGCCCTTACGGGGCCCGCGCGACGTCGCCCCTGCCCGCCGAGTCGCCCTGCAGTACCCGCGCCCGCCCTGCCCGCCGCGTCGCCCCTACCCCGCGCCTGGTCCCTGGAGCAGCCGTCCCTGCAGCAGCCGCCCCTGGCCCCTAGAGCAGCCGTCACTGCAGCAGCCGCCCCTGGCCCCTGGAGCAACCGCACCTGCAGCCGCCCCTGGCCCCTGGAGCGGCTGCCTCTGCAGCAGCCGCCATCTGGCCACTGGAGCAGCCGCCACTGCAGGAACCGCCCCTGGCCCCTGGAGCAGCCGCCCCTGGAGCAGCCGCCACTGCAGTAGCCGCCCCTGGCCCCCCGACCAGCCGCCCCTGCAGCAGCTGCCGTCGCGGCCCGGTCCCGCCCTACAGCAACTGCCGCGGAGCTCCCTGCCGCGGTTGCGGCCTCGCCCTGCCGCTGTAGCGGCCCCCGTCGTGCGCCCGCCCTTCCCACCACTGGTGAGCACGTCCCTACCCGTACTACTACTGCTGTTACTTCTACTGCTACTGCTGCTCCTGCTGCTACTGCTTCTACTGCTGCTCCTGGCGTGGCCAGATGCAGCTCCAGGGCCGTCCGCGTGTGTCCCTCACGCCCCAGCAGCTTCGTGAGTGGTACGCCAGTTGGGGTTGTCGGGGTGGCAGTAGTGGGAGTCGTCCTGGAGTGCGTAGTTCGGGAGTTTCTTGTAGTGGCCTGGTGCCGCAGCAGCATCGTCTACGCGAGACTTGTTCGCCCCAGCAGCCTCGTGAGTGGTACGCTCAGAGTAGAGGGTCGTTGCGCACTGCTCACTGCCTGTACGTTATTCGCACGGGTGTCCGGACTGGTCAGCCTTGCGGGACGCCTGGTCACACAGAGTCTCACTACTTCGCCTGTCTGAGCGACGCTTGGCGTACAGAATTTGGCGACGATGCTGAGCTCCCCGACTGGGTGGAGCTGCTTAGGCAGAGGGTAGATATCTTTGCTCTTGACTATGATGCTATTCTCACTGCAATGTATGCATTGTCTACTAGTGCCGAGGGAGCCTGTCACCTATGTGTGCCGCCTGACCCCGGTATCCAGTCTACTGCTCCAGGTGCTGGTGAGGCTACTGCTCTAGGCGCTCGTGAGTCTGCTGCTCCAGGTGCTTGTGAGTCTGCGCTTTCCGGTACTACGTCTACTGAGGCACTGCACACCTTCACACTGGACTCAGGGGCTTCCCGCTGTTTCTTTCGCGACCGCACTGCCCTAGAGCAGCTCCCTAGACCGGTTGCTGTCTCCTTGGCTGACCCCTCCGGGGGTCCAGTCTATGCGACCTCCACCACTGCCCTCCCTTGTCCAGCTGTCCCGTCCGGCACCCTATCGGGCCTTTACCACCCCTCGTTCTCTGCGAACTTGGTAGTGGGTTCTGCGCTCCAGGACGCGGGTGTTCCCCAACTCACCCCTGCCTACGAGCGTGTGACACACTGCACGTGTGCCCAGATGGGTCGTCACCTGGCTACTTTCACTCGGCAGCCGGGGTCGGACTTGTACACACTAACCACAGCGTCCCCTCAGATAGCGGCGTCTGCATCTGCGTCAGGTTAGTTGTCCGCCCCCTGCTCGTGTTGCAACCTGTCGCACCAGACTGTCCTCTGGCACCACCGCCTTGGTCATTCCTCAGTGCAGCACCTTCGTGGTATGCACTCCCGGTACCTTGTCCCTGGTCTTCCCAGGGTTCTCCCTCCCCTCCCACCCTCGCCTGCTCCTCCATGTCTTCCCTGTATCGAGGGGCGGCAGCGCGCCACTCCTCACTCCTCCTTGTTCCCTCCCACAGAGGCTCCCCTGCAGACTCTCCACCTGGACGTGTGGGGCCCAGCCCGCGTCCGTGGACAGGGCCACGAGCGGTACTTCCTGCTGGTCGTCGACGACTACGCGTGCAACACCACAGTCTTCCCCTTGCGCACCAAGGGTGAGGTCCCTGATGTTTTGATCCCTTGGATCCGTGCTGCTCGTCTCCAGCTCCGCGAGCGGTTCCAGTCGGACTTTTCTGTCCTGTGTCTGCACTCTGACAGGGGTGGTGAGCTTTCCTCCGACCTCTTGGCAGCCTACTGTGCGGAGCATAGCATCCGCGAGACGTTCACGCTTCCGGCCTCTCCACAGCAGAATGGGGTTGCTGAGCACCGCATTGGCTTAGTTATGGAGGTCGCTCGTACCTCCATGATCCATGCAGCTGCCCCCCATTTCGTGTGGCCGTTTGCAGTGCAGTACGCTGCGCATCAGCTCAACCTCTGGCCCCGTGTCTCTGCTCCGGAGACCTCGCCCAGACTGTGTTGGACGGGGAAGGTTGGCGATGCGTCGGTGTTCCGGGTCTGGGGATGTCGAGCCTTTGTTCGCGATGCGTCCGCGGACAAGCTCTCCTCTCGTGCCGTTCACTGTGTCTTCCTTGGCTTTGTCCCTGACGCGCCAGGCTGGCACTTTTACCACCCCACCTCGCCCCGTGTCTTCCCCTCTCAGGACGTCAATTTTGACGAGTCGGTACCCTTTTACCGTCTATTCCCCTACCGCACTACCCCGCTCCCCCCTCCGCCTCTCCTCCTCACATCAGGTGCTGCTTCGGTAGATCCCCTACCTCCCTAGGGTCCTGCTCCCTTAGGTGTTTCCCAGGGAGACCTGGTCGAGCCTGTCGAGGTAGCTGTCGACTCTGGTCCTGCGCGAGGTACTGCGTCTGGGGGTGCTAAGACTGGGGGTGCTGAGACTTGGGGTGCTGAGCCTGGTGGTGCTGAGACTAAGGGTGCTGAGCCTGGGGGTGCTGAGACTGGCGGTGTTGAGCCTGGGGGAGCTGAGACTGACCGTGCTGCGCCTGGTGGCGCTCCCCCTTCACAGCAGCTGCGTGAGTGGTACTCTCAGCGTTGCAGCCTCAAGCGTGGGGCTGCTGGAGCTGGGGGTTCTGCCGGAGCTGGAGCTGGTGGTGCTGCGGGTGCTGTGTCACGGCTGGAGCCTCCCTCCCCACAGCGGCTGCATGAGTGGTACGCTCGACGCTGCAGCCTCCGTAGCGGTGCTCCTAGCACTGAGGTGCCACTCGCTGGAGGCCCTGGTGCTGTTGGAGGTACTGGAGCCTCTGGTCCTGGAGGTGCTCGTACAGGCGCTACTAGAACTGCTGGCACTGGGGGTTCTGTTAGAGCTGTAGCTGGAGCTGCTGGAGCTGGTGCTACTGGAGGTGCTGCCGGTGCTAGAGCTGCTGGAGGTACTGTTGGAGCTGTAGCTGCTGGAGGTGCTGCTGGTGCTGGAGTTGGAGATGGAGGTGCTGGAGCTGCTGGAGCTACCGGTGGAGCTGAGGCCGCTGGGCCTACTGGAGTTGTTGTAGCTGCTGACCCTGGGGTTGGTGCTGCAGGGACTGGAGCTGGAGGTGC